TTGGAAATTAACCTTTGAAAAAAGGTCTGGTTATTTCATCCCGCAGCAGTAAAATGTTTGATACATATTTGTTCTGGTTGTTTTTTACTCCCTCCGTCCCTATTTAATCACAACACTTGCTTTTTCAGCAGTGTCGGGAACTTTTGTTTATTTCGACGTTTTCATTGATTATTTGATAAAATAAAATATTCTTGACACCTCTTATTTCGAAGAATTTTCATGTAGTTTTTTTATATGTAAATTTTATTTTTTATTTCTTTACCAATATGTAAATAAAATGAATTGAAAAAAGTTGATATTTTGCCTCGGGAATACAAATGTGACAAATAATTTAGGACGGAGGGAGTAAGTTTTTACTACCATTGGCCTTTCTGATGTTTTTTTAGGCTCTGTTGGTTAATAAGACTGGGGTTAACCATTGGGGTTCAAATGTTGGGGTCAATCAAGCATAACCCTTTTCGGAATAGAATAATGACATGTTTGAGAATAAAAATTTGGAATTTGGAAAATTTTGAAATCTGGATTTGGATTTGAGATAAATTCTTTTAAGGTTCTATTAATTTGAGTGTTACTCTTAATTTTTAATATTTTCTAACTCTTTGTTGTTTCTTCTAACTCATTCAAGTTTCTTCTAACTTTTTTTTTCAATTCCTTCTAGTTTCTTTCCAATTCTTTCTTTTCCAATTCTTTTTACTTTTTTTCTAGTTCCTTATAGTTTTTCCATCTTCCAGTTTCTCCTAATGTCTTTTTATTTTTTTTCAACAATAACTTTAAAAAATTATTTAAGTGTATTTTCATATTATTATTATTATTACTACTACTACAGCTAATATTATTATTACTATTATCACTATCATCATCATCTCAATAAATTACAAAATTGATTTATTGTCATAATTTATTAAAAAATTGTCTTCGAGATAAATTTTAGTTACTATTATTGAGCCAATGTAGATTATCATAAACTGATTAATTTATAATTTCCTTGGTAATTTTAAAATTTTTGTTAACTATGTTTTTTTGAAATATGTTTTAGTTAATGTTTTAAAATTATGACCATAAATCATGTTTTAAAATTTTTACTAAAACAAGTGCGCATAAGTATTACATAAATTTTAGATATGGATCTACTCTTTTCTTACAAAATGCACGTCCCAAGCATATACAAAAAAAAGTGTTCATACGTCAGTAATTGTGTGACATTAATATTTTTTTAATTTCAAATAAGTATTCTTGAGACATACAAAAAACAAAATTCTACACCTTATAGTATTTTGTTTTTTCAGGAATTATTGATTGTCTTTCTAAATTAATAAAAAGCATTGCTCTATTTATCTCCTTATTTTTGTTACATAGATTAGTGACATACAATTGAAAAATGAAAATTTTTATTGTTGATATTGATTTAAGAATATAAAGAAAGAGTATGAATCACAAAAATTATAATTTAAGTTAAAATACAATGGCATAGAAGAAAAAAAAGAAGATTAAAAATTGAAAACAATAGAGTATGAATTTTTTAAATAAAATAAGAAATGTATAAAATAAAATAAATATTTCAACACATTTTATATTTGTTTTCAACTCTTTCTAGTTCATTCTAGTTTTTTCCTACTTTCAGTTTCTTCCAACATCGAACTATGTTTTTACAACTAAAACTAATAGAGTCGAAGTCATAACGAAGCTCAATTAGGAATTCATATATCTCTTCTTGTTATTTTTAAAGAAATATTTGCATTAAATAGCAGTAAAACTTAAGTCATTTCCCTAAATAGTACTTAAACTGTTTTATTCCCTAAATAGCACTTAATAATGTCCAGTGATGCCAAATATTTGCTTGAATAATGACTAATGCATAATGACTAAAAGTGCTACATTGGGAAGAAAAACATATGTGGTGCTATTTAGGAAAAATCATTATGTTTTAATGCTATTTAAGTAAATTCCTCTGTTTTAAACTCAAGAATTTAAACTCTGGAATTGAAATACAAATATTAAAATGAAATGATAGTAACAAACACTACCTAATAGTATTTGAATACTTGATCTAATAAAATAACAATTCTCGCCTGGTTAGGAGTCATGCCCCTTAGATTCTAATACTAGAAGAGAGTGCCCCCTCCGAATCGTTGTTAATGATTTATAAAATCTTTGAATGACCTTGTGATTCACGCGTCCGAACCCGTTTATATCGTTTGTTACAAATCTCATACGGTTTAAGTAACCAAAACAATCGATAATACTAAGGTAGTGTTTGAATAGTGAGAAAGCGGAAGAAAATTAGTGAAAATGCAAGGAAGGAAAACGCGTAAAACCATGCATTTTTTTTGTTTGTTTTAAAGAGAAAATAAAGCTAGTGGCGTTGCGCAGTTGGCAATGCAAGGTGTGCCTACGGGGTAAGACTCGAGTTCGATTCCTGGCAACTATGCTAGGAGGCAACTATGCTAAGCATATGACCTCTTCAAGCAGGATTCACTCTTTGCTACCAATCTGCAATTAAAGTCTAATTTAGCTTTTTTTAGTGACCGTCCGGACGGGTCAGATGAAGTCCTCGAAAATGGGGCTCATCTGAGAAAATAAAAAAGGTGAGAAGACCAATTAATTAAGTACGGGTCCCACAAAAAAAAATCTCCCAACATTGATCACAAACCATAGCTCTTGAACTCCTCCCACCACTAATTTTCTCTCATTCCATCCTTTCAATTTCTTCTCTCCATTTTTCTTCAATTTTCCATCAATCCAAACACTAATTTTTTTCTCTTCATTTCTTATTACTATCTTCATCCTTGAATATTTTTTCAGTTTTGACTTTTTTCAGTTAATTATTTTTAACATTTGACCTATCTTTATATAAAATATATATTTTAAATATTAATTAGATAAAATAATATTTTAAATATATTTTATATAATAAATCTAATAAAGTTATTTTTATATCAATATTTAATACCATTTCTTTTTCTAATTCTATCCAAACAAAGGGTAAAATCTCCAACAGTCCTCCCATGATTCCCAAAAAAAAGTTTTATCAAAATATCACACCTCGGTAAAGCGCCGACTGCCGAGAGCTCAGGATCGACGGGAAAAACGTTAAAAGGTTGCTGCTGTCCCCGGTACGCATCCCGAGGGATCATTAGATATATCGACAATAATGTCCTTCCGTTTATCATCATCATCATCATTATCATTATTATTACTCCGTATTATTTATGATCATGCATGCATATATTGCTACTGTAATTAATTAATTAATTCACTTAATTAATAATTTGCACCTCTCGTACGTACACATACATAATAAAATACAAACGCCCCTCTGATGCCACTTGTGGGCGATGTTGTCTAGGTTGTGAAATTTAGTGGAATTAGCATAACAGAGTACAATTTTTATCTTTGGTAAAATGGTTAACTTAAAGTAGGTGAGATTTAAGTGAAGAGGCGAAGAGAAGGTTACCAAGCTATGTAAAACGCAATAGGAACATGACCATCTATACTCGTAATAGTGAGGACAAAGTACGTGCGCGGTAATGACTTGTGTTGGTTTGTGAGGTCAGTCTACAATTCTATGAGCGGACGCTTACGGCTAGGGTGAGGGCTGGGGTGTTACAATTGGTACCTAAACACATACTATTTTCAAACTAACGGGTTTTTACATACCCGACTAACATCCATTGGCAAGTACAACTTAACATACCTCTAACATCATACACCCACAACATACCTTGCCTCTAATCAATTCAGGTCAGTCCTAGAGTTCTTCTAGGTAGACTAGTTCATTCGTCCTTTCTTCACTTAACACATCATAAATATAATCATGAGTGTTGGATCATCACAACACCATGCAAGAAATTGACAAACAGTGGCCCAGTGTTGGGTGTGAACATTCACACTTACCGTCATACAACACACAAGGGTTCACACTATATCCTTGACGTTAAACATATTTTCCATTGTTCAAGTCTGCCACCCGGTACCTCCCACGGTACCTATGTACCATGAACGGTGTCAAGGTACCGTCACTCGGTACCTAGCTACCATGTGCGATGTGGACAGGTAGAGACTTCCGGCTTATGGCGGTAGCATGATACATGTGTCCAGTAGGAGGGTACCGACCTACTCTTGCGAGCGGCTGAGACAATTCTTCTATGACGGTAGAACGGTACCAGTAGGCGGTACAGGCCGGCCTACCGTCTAACGTGAGAGCAATCTGCTGCATTGCGATAAGGTTAAAAATAGCCAAGTTTCAACACCAAATTCACAACGTTGAACATACACATCAACATAAACATGATTCATTACATCATAAGGCATAACCAATATCAAAACTATGCATTAATCATGTGTTCTACCCCCTTTTTCTTCCACCAGCAATACCCAGAATTCCTCAAACATGCACTTCAATCAAGTTTTCACACAATTCAACCAATATAACGACTATGCATGTAAGTTTCAAATCTATATGCATAATCTAGAGTTAGATGTGCATATATTAACCTCAAAATTGGCGATAGGCTAAACTATGAATGATTGAGAACTATGAACGAAGAACAACAGCGAGATTGCAACAACGTACTTCTTAAGCTACTGCATTCCCTTCTCTCTTCTTCTTCGGCTGGCATTGATCGTTGAAAGAGGGAGTGTAAATACCAATGCTTAAAAGTTAGCCAATATTTTGATAAAGATAAATATAATATTTTATTTTATTTTCTAACTAAAAAATATGAACAATTTTTAAACTTGTCCTTTTTATTTAAAAATTAGGTTTTTGGGAAGATCTCTTAAAATGGTAACCAATGAAATATAATTTGTTAAATTTGGATTTTCGTGTAAACCGTGATTAGTAAAATAGGTGTTACAGTTCAATAAAGAAATATAAATATTTCATATATATATATATATATATATATATATATATAGAGTTTGGTTCCGGTGAGAAAGAGATCTAATGAAAGAAATAAGAGTACTTATAAACCGTCCGATCTGATGAGTTTTCAATCTTATCGCCAGGGCATAGAAGTCTTTACGGCACTTCCTTCAAACGCAAACCATCGCGAGACATTCTCATCCCTGATTTCTCGCGCACGATCAGATTCACTTTCCCCATTTTCTCTCTAACCTTTCTAGAGATATGAATACCCTTATTTACCAAACTCTTGCTAACCTCCAATTCGGCCGTAATTGGGAGCGGCTTTGCTGTTCGATCTTTTATCATGGTTCCAGGTTTGTGTTTTTTGTGATTCTTTTTGTCTACAATTACGTAACCATGGTATGTAAATTTCTCTAGCCTCTCCAGTTCGTTAGATCCATGGATGCGCTTACATTCATTGTGAAATTACTTATAAATTTCTTTGGGATTTAGAATTTTTCTTAATGGGGTTATCGTTTCAAAGGTTGCTGGTTAAACTAAGTACAGCTTCATGAAACACTGCACCCATATATTTTTGTATGGATTATGTCTAAAAAGGGTTATATTTTATTTCTTTATGCATTTCATGCATTTTGTATTGCATCATCATGTCTGCATACTGCATTAAATGACCCCCCATCGTCTGACCATGCTTACTGCATCAAAATGACCCCCCACGACTTATCATGCTTACTCAATTCAACAATGCTTCAAAAAGGTATTGGTAATGCCTGTAACTACTTTTTGGTGGACTACATTTTGTCGTTTGCTGGTTCTCTTTTCTCTTTGTTGTTCGTCAATTGCAGCCACTTTCATGAAATTACGCTTCATGTCATTTCTCACCTTCTGTGTTTATTTATTCATACATATGTCCTCTAGTTCGCTTTTTTGAATCCTGTATTACATAATTATAATTACGTAATGCATTTAGCTAACCTTCCTCCGTCGATTATGGCCAGGGTGGTACACACCTATGACTTCAAACGAAGGCCCGACACATGCAACAGAAATTATTTCGACTTCATCCAACTTATTTATTCCTGCCTGCCCTTAAGAGGCCAAGCCCAAAGTGGGAATGGTATTCCAATCCTTAGAGGACGGATTTAATTTTTACAAGCAATATGCTGCATTGGCAGGTTTTGACATTCGTAAAAGCACCAATTTGAAGGTTTGGGTGTTGTTGTGTGGCGGTACGTTGTATGCAACCGCGAAGGTCATAAGCATTTTGCATCAACCTACAACAAACCCACTCACAACGATGGAGACTTGCCCAAGGCAAAACAGAGGAGACGCATTTCCAATCGTGTTGATTGCAAGGCGCGTGTGGCGTTTAGGCTCACGGGTGGTGTAGGCTACTCCATATCATCATTCATTGAAAGTCATAACCATCCCATGATGTCCCTTCAATCTAGGCCCTTTTTGAAAATCAACAGAAATCTAGAAATTGGCCACAAGAAGTTTATGTTGAATTGTGCAAAGGCGAACATTGGCCCTATGAAGTCCCACCGATTGTTTAAGGAATCAGTTGGTGGCTTTAATAATGTGGGTGCCACTGCAATTGACTTCAAAAATTTCAAACGATACTTGAAGGCATATATTGCAGGCGTTGATGCTCAAATGCTCATTGACAAACTATTCAGAAAGAAACAAACATGCTCTGCATTCCATTTTGACTATGATGTTGATGAGAGTGACCAGCTAACTAGGGTATTCTGGTGCGATCCTATTGCTAAGAAGAACTACGCAATGTTTGGAGATGTCATTTCATTTGATGCAACCTTCAACACAAATATGTATATTCTTTTAATGCAGCACGTTATGCCTTTGATGCACTCTATAAGTATTATTTCTAGCGTTATAAACATGTTTTCAGGGGTTGAACTAGTTTGATTCTGGGTGTGTTTCTTGTGGTGCAGGTACAAAATGGTTTCTACACCATTTACTGGTGTAGATAATCACCGCAGATGTGTAACGTTTGCAGCTGGTCTGCTGCGCAGAGAAGATGTTCCTTCGTACAGATGGTTGTTCAATCGCTTTCTTGATGCAATGGGTCATGCACCGCAATGCATAATCACGGACCAAGACGCTTCTATGGCTATTGTTATTCCAGAGGTTTTCCCAAACACAGTCCATCGTCTCTGTATGTGGCATATTACCAACAAAATTACGTCCAAAGTTGACAATGAACTTGCAAAAGATCAGGACTTTTTGACAAGGTTAAACTCTGTAATATGGAGTCATTACCTCGAGCCTGAAGACTGGGAAAAACAATGGCATGAGGTATTAGTTGATTATGATCTGGATTCTGATTCATGGTTTTGCAATCTTTTTGCTATTCGTAAAAGCTGGATTCCCGCATACTTTAGGGATTTGTTCATGATTGGTTTACTACACACAACATCACGTTCTGAGAGCGAGAATAGCTTTTTTGGTGATTTCAAAAATACCTTCTTCACTCTTGTCGAGTTCTATATGCAATTTGAAAGTGCTATGGACTCCCAACGACATAAAACTGCAGACTTGGATGCAGATTCAGAAGCATGCACCCCTGTTTATAAAACACCGCTTGCAATTGAGAAACATGCAGCATCCATCTACACTCTGAGCATCTTCTACGAAGTACAAACAGAGATATGTGCATCATGCTTCTCGTGCAGCGTGCTACAGGTGGACAAGAAGGAGCATACGTTAACATTTGTTGTGCAGGATTCCCGAGATATGGTTGTTAACGTTGAACATTCAACCTTAGAAGGCTCTTTCTTCTGCACATGTAAATATTGGCAGCGCATTGGTCTGCTGTGCCGTCACATATTCTTGGTGTTCAAGGGACTGAGAATCAAACTGATTCCAGAACGTTATATTACCAATAGATGGTGTAAAACACCACTCCTGAAGCCACTGATCGATGTTTCTAGCCTGGACTTTACCTCGGAATCATCCGTTGACGAAAACAAATTAATACTCAACCGCCTATGGTCTAACATTCACTCTTGTTTTGCACTCATTGAAAATAACCCCGAGTTATTATGTGCTTTCTCCAAGGTAATTACTGAACAAAAGGAGCTCATTCAATCTGTTGTTTCCTCCCAGGATGCAGGTACTGAAGAACCTAACCTCTTTGAAAATTACTGTGGTGTTCCCGCTCCATCAGTGATTAAAGTGCTTCCACCTCAACCAGCTCACAACAAGGGTAGTGGTAAGCGCATCAAGAGTGCTAAAGAGCTCCAGATTGAACAAAGCAAGAAGAACAAACGCTTGTGTCAAACTTGCAAAGAGCTAGCCTATCACGATAGTAGAAATTGTCCGATGAATACTTTGACATAATATTACTTTTTTCCTACAAACATTTAATATTTTTTTGTTGAATCTTTTTAGTGCAAGATGGACCAATGAAATAATTTATTCATCAATTCATGCATTGTACGTATCTCCACATCATCAAAAGTTAGACTTATGTTCCAACACTGCCTCACACACTTCACCTTACATGAAACACGAATGAAACGCCTTAATAGTTACTTTTATATAAACTTTGGATAATCGTAAAATAACGGGGGATTATGAGTGTTAAAAAGCATCACCCATTCGTTCTTCCTATTTTCGTTTATTAACCAAATGTGTCCAGAATCTCGTTTAACCATTGTCCCAAATCACAACTTTCAACAACACCACATCTCTATAAAGAACTCTTACGTTGCATTCAAACACCTCCAAACCGCACCAAAACACTATTTACCCTGCAAGAAGTTATTTACCTTCTCCTTAATCAAATGCTCCCTCAAACACTCGAAAAATAACTCAATACTACTACACTAGAATACGCATACACGTACACCAATGCAAGAGCACCGTGCATTCACGTTTAATACCACAATCAACACACATATGGAAATATTATCCAATCGCTGATTACGCTAATCAATGACTTTCATAAACTTGTCAGGTATTACCTAATTACTTTTGCAAAATAAATGTTGACTAAACATCACTAACGTCCCATAATTTTTAAACAAGAATTCTTTTTAAATAATAAAAGATATTACTAACTACGCTCATTCTAAGCAATAATTCAACCCCATCTAGCAAAATGAACAAGCCAGTGATGGACTCATTCAGGGGCTATGCACCAAACCAAAAACATCAAAATGTCACCCAAATGCAAGTCCTAAAAACATAAAACAAACAGATCATAATCCCCATGCCAAGTCACTCATTAAAACATTAATTTCTCATCCAAGCATGCAGTCTTCATCCAGTATTGTGCTTCACCAACTGCCTAATCTTCTCCCTAACCCCGTTCACATCTGATTCGACTATTGCAGCACAGTACTTTGTCCTAAGTGCATTCACCGCTTTTCCGTCCCCCTTTTTCAAACCACAGTCCCACCGCTTCAATGTCTGCCCCGTGTACGTCTCCATATGGCGCATTGTGATCACACCATAATCAAATACGGCAGTCGAATCCCTCCACGGCAGTTGTAATCGTTTTGGCTGTTGTGCCTTCACCTTTTCCACCCGGCCATTCATACCTTTATTTTCAAAATACTTAACAACCATGTTTCGCTGCAATAAAAAGAATGATAAAACATTAGATTGTTGAAATACGTATCTTCTCATCCGACTTTTCCATTTCTCTTATTTCATATATATGTTCCCTTTTTATGACACCCAAGGCAATTCTTCACAAATCCGCTTCCATCGTGTGGAGAGAATCCAAAGAAGGCTCTAGCATTTAAAAGCATACCCAAATCCTGATTTAGCACCAAGCAATACAAATCCCATCCTGTTGGTGCCTCAAAGAGAGTATCATACAAAATATGCAGGAAATTGCTCAAAGTTAAAACTGCCTACTTATTTCTTTTGTTGTCTTTGGCTAAAGCAGTAATTGAAAACAAAATCAAAAACTATATATAAATATATAAATAAATATATATATATATATATATATATATATATATATATATATATCTGTGTGTGTGTGTTCTAGTGAGAATGTGATCTTATGAAAGAAATAAGAATGAATCTGCTGCTTTAGATTGTGAGATATAAGGGTCAGGATTGCATCAAAATTAGGTGTACCAAAATGGTTTGAAAATGCGTCATGTCGAAATGCACAAAATCCTTTGGAAATGCACTATCTCAAAATCTGAGCGCATGATGCAATCTGAGTCGCACGATGAATCAAGTCCAAAGGCTAGATTTTATTTTTATTTCTTTCACCAAGGTGAATTCTCACGTGAACCGGCCCCTATTATATATATATATATGGATTGACTCCACTGACATTACACCTTACGGTGAGATGACATGCTACGGTGAGATGACGCAAACCTCACCACATTACACTGCAAAGCTCACCAATGACCAATGTAAAGCTCACTTGGAAATAAAGCAAAGCTCACCACTTTGAACACCAAAACTCATCTTTTTTTAATTTTCAAAATTAAAAAAATAATTAAAAATAAAATAGCAACACCGGTCAACCACCGGTCAGCAGCGGCGGCACGGCGGAGACCGGCGGCAGCCGGCGGCGGCCAGTGGTGGTGGTCGGTGGCGGCGGTGGTCGGCGGTGGCGGTGGGCGGTGATCAGCGGTGGCCGGTGATGGTCAACGGTACCCCCAAACGGTAGGCTGTACCGTGCTCACGGTACCTAGGTACCAGACGGTACTGACCTTACCGTGAAGGGTACCGGATCCGTTGTAACCACTGTAGCAAATTGCCAATTTAAATTCAAATCACCCCTAATCACTTCCTAACGGAATTTAAGGTTAAAAATTCATATTTTAACATTCCAAACTCTTATATAAACCCCCCTTTAAGTCTCATTTTAAGTACAACAACTTCCCAATTAAATCTAAAGCCTCTTTCTCTATTCTTGAGTGTTCTAAAAGCTTTGTTCTTATTTTTCTTACTCTTTTGAGTATAAAGCTTTCATTATTTTTATACACTCACACACAAGGGCATTTGTAATTCATTATTTTATATCTTGCCTATAGGCTTTTGTTGTTGTTGATTTAATCTTTTGTTCTTCTCCTACCCAACTCATATTTGTTATTATTTTGGTAGAGAAACAACATCAATCTATTATTAATTTGTAAAAGGTGTGTATAGCCTTTAAATCCTCATTATAAGGTTGAAGATAGCCTTTAAGTCTTCGGTTGTAAACGGTTGAGATAGCCGTAGTAAAATCTCATTTGCTTATTGGCAAGGGTTGTTTGCCAAACCTCGTTTGAGTCTTCTTAGTGAAGCCAAACAAGTTAGTGGAGGTTAAATCCTTGAGGAGGAGCCTCGAGGTACTGGAGCAGGGAGTTCCCGAACCAGTATAAAATCGTTTGTGTCATATTTTTATCTTTTATACTTTTCTTGCTCTTTTTCCGCTACAACTTTGCGCATAAGTTTTTGTTTTTACGAAAAACTTGCTAACACCCTAATTCACCCCCCTCTTAGGGTGTAAACCGACTTTCAATTGGTATCGGAGCAGGAAGTTTGAACCTTTCACACTCATCTTTTATTTCTTTTTACAACACATGGATTCATTGAACTCCCAAAGCATCACCAAGCCACCATTCTCCAATGGGGATAACTATGGCTATTGGAAAATGCGAATAGAGAATTTCATTCAATCTATTGACTATGATTTATGGATAGTCACTACTCATGGTCCTTTTGTTCCTATGACAACTGTAGGTGAACATCAAGTGCCTACACCAATGGACAAGCTCACAATCGATGACAAGAAAAAGCTCTCTTTGAATGCCAAAGCATTAAACGTATTGTTTTGTGCATTGGGTCAAGATGAGTTTGCTAGGGTGAGCTCTTGCAAATCAGCAAAGAAAGCATGGAAGCTCCTAGAAGCCACCCATGAAGGAGATAAAGATACCAAAGCTACCAAGATAGCTTTAGGAACATCCGAGTATGAAAACTTCAAGATGAAGGCCGGGGAGTCCGTTCAAGATATGAACAAAAGATTTAACCTCATCATCAACAATTTGAGTAAGCTAAATAAAGTTTATCCTACTAGTGAGATTAACACCAAGATTATATTCTCTCTTCCTAGAGAGTGGCATAGTCTTGTTGTAAACTTGTTGCCCAAATGTGCGGATGTTGAAACCTCCACCATTTGGAGCAGCCTATACTCTCACGAGCTTCTTTTGAAGAAAATGAAGGAAGAAGAACATGTTCCTATCATCAAGAAGACCACGGCACTCAAAATTGACGACCATCCGGAAAGGGAAGGAGAAAGTGATAAGGAGCTTGCCATGTTCAAGAGATACAAGAAGTTTATGGAATGGAACACGGGCGAATCCTTAAAACGATTTCCATCAAAGAAAGGTAAACCTAATCAAATAACTTTCTATGAATGTGGAAATGTAGGTCATATCAAACCGGAGTGCCCAAAGCTCAAAAAGAAGGAAGAGCTTAAAAAGGGGAAGAAGAAGGCATTAAAAGTCACTTGGGACGATTTAAACTCCGACGAAAGTGATAATGACCAAAGCCAAGAAGAGAACGCAAATGCTTGCTTCATGGCCTCCAATAATGAAGAAGAGGTTAGTTCTCAAAATTCGTTTACCTCTTTTGAAAGTCAAATTACTTTTGATGAGTTAAGGTAAGCGTTTGATAAATGCCAAGAGGACCTTTTTCGAACCATTAGGGAGAAAAATGAACTCAAGGTGGCTCTTGAAACTTCTCGTGATGAAAACAAAAATTTTAAACTTAATCTTGAAAAGTTTCAAAACCAAAATGAAGAACTTCAAAAGAAAATTGAAATTTTGATTAAAGAAAAAGACAAGGCCAAACGAGGGGCTTTGGAAATGTTTTACAATATCTATAACTCAACAAAAAAATGGGATAACCAACCAAAACTAACGAAAGAAGGTATTAGTTATGGTCAATCCACAAACTTGATGAGTGTGGCTAAAAACCATTTTAATACCTCTAAAACTAACCCATCAAACCAAGCCTCAACTTCTAAATTAAAAGTAAAGGCTTGCCATTATTGCATGCAAGCTAACCATATTGTGACAAAGTGTCCAAACAAATGGTTAGTTGAAATGCGAAAATTAAAATGGATCAAGAAGGGTTCTAACCGGTCGGAATCCAAGAATATTGGATATCAAAAGAAACCCTTTTTGTAGGAAAATAAAAGAAATGATGGTGGATACTATTTCTTTTATTATGACGAAAAACGAAAAGTCCCTATACCACTTCCGGAACCTACCAAGACGAAACCCGTATATCGACATAGGGTATTCGTCGATTGGAACCCCAAACCTAAGTCAAAAGTAAATTCATTTTTGACTATGTGAAAAATACCACTTGGGTTGTGGATAGTTGATGCTCGAGACACATGACCGGAACAAGAGGATGGTTCACAAATCTCAAGGAGAAAAGTCATGGACATGTGACCCTTGGAGACAAATCCCGGAAGAAAGTCATTGGTAAAGGTACGATAGGTATTTCAAGTGGTTTTTCAATAAATGATGTTTATCTTGTTGATGGCCTAAAATTTAACTTAATTAGCATAAGCCAACTTTGTGACAATGGCCACAAAATTAAGTTTAATGCAAATTCCTGCGTTTTATATGACCAAAATAAAGATGAAATCATTTTTGATGCTAAAATAGATAGAAACTTATACAAGTTCAATTCCAATGATTTAAGCAACTCAAAAATCACTTGTCTTACAACTTCACTTGAATTTTCAACTTTATGGCACCGTAGACTAGGACATGCTAGTTATGATCTTTTGAGAAAACTTTACTCAAAAGAACTTGTTGTTGGGCTACCAAAAATGAGCATACCTACTTCTCGTTTTTGTGATGCTTGCTCCCTTGGAAAATAACATAAAGTTTCATTTAAGCCTATAAAAATGGTTTTAACATCAAGGCCACTTGAACTATTACATATGGATTTATTTGGGCTCGTAGACGTTCAAACCCTAGGTGGAGCTAGTTTTACTTTTGTAATTGTAGATGATTTTTCTTGTTATACTTGGACTATATTACTTTCCAATAAAGATGATGCGTTTAATGCGTTTGTTAAGTTGTGCAAGAGAATCCAAAATGAGAAAGGTTATGAAATAACCTCTATTAGAAGTGATAGAGGAGGAGAATACCGGAATACCGATTTTGAGACATATTGTGATGAACACGGTATTTCTCACAACTTTTCGGCTCCTAGAACACCTCAACAAAATGGAGTCGTTGAAAGGAAAAATAGGACGTTGCAAGAAATGTCAAGGACTATGTTGAATGAACACAACCTACCTCAATATTTTTGGGGAGAAGCGGTCAACACGGCATGCTACGTTCTTAACCGGGTATTACTTAGACCTATTATTAAAAAGACTCCTTATGAACTTTGGAAAGGTAGAAAACCAAACATTTCCTATTTCAAAGTTTTTGGGTGTAAATGCTATATTTTGAATACCAAGGATCATTTAGGCAAATTTGAGCCTAAATCAAATTGAAGGAATTTTCCTTGGTTATTCAACAAATAGTAGAGCCTATAAGATATATAATAAATCAAATCATAAAGTAGAAGAATCTATGCATGTAAAATTTGATGAAACCGATCCCTTTGGGTCGAGTAAGGTAATTGCAGGTTCAAATGAAGAAGAAGAGGAAGAAGAAATCCTGGAAATTCCTGCGCAAGAAGAAGAAAATGCAAAGAAGGAACTACCGAAGGCATACATACACTTGAAGAATCATCCAAGAGACAAATAGTAACCTCTATAACTTTTCCCTCAATCTTGATCCTTGTTAATGTTAGAAACACGTGTGATACGCAAGCAATCAGTTAAACTTGGATTCTTGCATCTTCTACGTGATTTTCTATCACTAACCTAATATAGGTACGTTGATCTCGAACTCGTTAAACTTGCGTTGTTCCAATGGGAACTAGTCGAAAGACCGGAAAACTGACCCGTTGTGGGAACTAAATGGGTCTTTAGGAACAAGCTTGATGAAAATGGTGTTATTATCACTAATAAAAGTCGACTTGTTGCTAAAGGCTATAGCCAAGTTGAAGGACTTGACTATGATGAAACTTTTGCTCCGGTTGCTAGGCTTGAATCTATTCGCATGTTATTAGCTTTTGCAAGTGCTCTTAATTTCAAATTTTTTCAAATGGATGTTAAGAGTTCTTTTCTCAATGGATGGTTAAAAGAGGAAGTTTATGTTGAACAACCTCCCAGTTTTGAAAATCCCGATTTTCCAAATCATGTTTTTAAACTTCATAAGGCTCTTTATGGACTCAAACAAGCTCATAGAGCTTGATATGAGCGGCTTACCGAACATTTTATCTCACATGGATTTGCAAAAGGAAAGATCAATTCCACACTTTTTGTCAAAACAAGAGGAAAAGATCTCATAATTGTGCAAATTTATGTTGATGATATTATTTTTGGGTCAATTAATGAAGCCTTATGTAATGAATTTTCAGGAATTATGACAAGCGAATTTGAAATGAGTATGATGGGTGAGTTGAACTTCTTCCTTGGACTTCAAATTAAGCAATATGGAGATGGCATTTTCATTAGTCAAACCAAGTATGCCAATGAATTGGTCAAGAAGTTTAACCTTGAAGACTCAAAGACATACCCGACTATAATGAGCACATCCTTAAAGCTTGACAACGACGAAAGCGGATAACCCGTAAATGAAAAGGTATATCGAGGTATGATTGGTAGTTTAGTTTATTTAACTGCATCTATACCCGACATCATGTTTTCCGTTTGCCTTTGTGCACGTTTCGAGTCATCACCCAAAGAATCACATCTTAATGCCGTCAAGCGAATAATTCGATATGTCAAGGGAACGACCAATATGGGTTTATGGTATCCTAAGAATACGAATTTAAGCCTGATAGGTTTTAGTAATGCTGGTTTTGGAGGGTGTCGTATTGATCGGAAAAGCACAAGTGCCACATGTCAATTAATAGGTCATGCACTAGTGTCTTGGTCATCTAAGAAACAACACTCCGTCGCCCTATCCACCGCCGAAGCGGAATATGTGGCTATGGGTAGTTGTGTTGCTCAAATTTTATGGATGATGCAAACACTAAGTGACTTTAAGTTAAAATTTTCAAAAGTGCCTATTTTTTGTGATAACTCGAGTGCAATAAATATTTCCAAAAATCTTGTTTTGCATGCTAGAACTAAACATATAAAAATAAGACATCATTTCATACGTGATTATGTTGCAGAGGGAGAGATTCAAATTGCATATGTTAATACGCTTGAACAACGTGCCGACATTTTTACAAAACCATTGGATGAAAAACAATTGTTACATATTTGTTGGGAAATGGGAATGCTTGAATTAAAGTGAAATTTAAGGTTCTTATTATCTCATTACATCATAAAATTAAATTGATCAAGTCCAAATGATCAAAACACGCGTCTAGAGGTCGAAAGAAAACATTAAGTCTGAGGCACGGTACCCCTGACGGTACCAAGGTCCCGCCCTAAATAGGTACCGCCAGAGGAGAAGGGATTTTGTAAGCTTCACGGTCGCTGGTTACGGCAGAGCGTACCGTATACACAGTACCAAGGTACCGTTAACACGGTACCAAGGTACCGACCGTCGCGACTGGTCAACATATTTAAAAACCCTAGACCAGTTCATTTTCGGTATCTGCAACCCTCTCTCTCGGCGACCTCTCTCATTTCCTCTCTACCGAAAGCCAAATCCAAAAGGTAATTCTTCATCCAATTTCTTAAATCTCTTCATATATTTGATTCAATTCATCAATTACATCATATACTCTCTTCAATTCGTGCATTAGGTATCAATTTCCCTATTTTCGTCCAATTTTACCAATTTTCTCAAAATCTCCAAAATGAGTGAAATTGTTTCCAATGTTCAAACCAATGCTCAACCCGATGTTCAAGACGGGTTCAAGGCTTACTTCGACTCACATATCATTGAGGGGAGAACCCTAAAACAAGATGACATTCCGGTTGCCGTTCTTGAACTTATTCAAGAACAAGGTTGGAGTTTCTTTCTTCAACTCCAAGCCCCCGTTTACCCAGAACTTGTTCATCAATTTTATTCTTCGATGAAATATCATCCCCAAGACCCTTCCATTACCGCCGTTGTAGCCAGCAAAACCTTCGGATTCAACACCCAAAACCTTTCCGAATGGTTTCACCTAGAGCGTCAAGGAGTCTCCACCTATTGTAAAAAGGGGTGGATTACCGACTCACGAGACTTTAACTCCGGTTCTTGCCTCCGAGTGCTAAATAACATTGCCCTTGACCATGTCTTTGAGGACCCGCACTACTTCCTACATCGGCCAAATGTCCAAGACTTGCCCGCAAATAGGTTTATCCTCCTCAAAATCCTCAAAGAAAATGTCATTCCCGTCCTTAACAAAGATAAGCAAGTCGGGGTTTATGAATGCACTCTCCTATATTGGCTCCTCACTCACAAGAAAATCAATATCCCTTGCATCATCCTTAAACACATGCACGAATGCTCCAATCGCCTAAACAAACCCTATGGCATGCTTCTTACACATATCTTTGCCAAGAGGGAAATTCTTGAGGTGCGCCCGTCCCGCGTCTGCTATCTTTACGCAGAGTGCCTTGGCTATTGTGGCCTTGTAAAGATTGGAGAGGAGTATTACATGAAGAAGGAGTTTCAAAATCTTGATGAGGCGACACGAGCGGAGTATGGTCCTCGGCGTTCCATGTCATCTTTGCCTTCCACTTCACGCGCACCCCAGGCCGAAGCCAAAGAAAATGCAAACACGGAGGTCCCCGTTCGTGCTCCTCGGGTCAAATGCTCATAGTCGGCGTCTCATGCTTCCTCGGCCTCTCTCATGCATCGTCACTCTCACATGGCTTCCACTTCCAAAAATCCCTTTAAGAAGTTCAAGAAATTCATCCTCAAGACCGTGGTGGCTCCGATGAGGAAACTTCAGGAAAGCCTCGATGACCTCTCGGATCGGATGAAGAAGATGGAGGACCGTGAGAATCGCCAAAAGCAAAATGAGGATCGTGTTTCTAGACGTCGTCACTAAGTGTTGGGCATTTGACAATATGATCAAACATTATGTATTTTGCCTAAGTTTTAAAACTCTTTGTCATGTTTATGTTTCGAACTTTTATTTATGAACTTATATGACTCAAACTCCTTTGTTATGATTATGCCTTTGATTTGATTCTGCTCATGGTTTGAATGCTTATGCTTATGATGCTTGTTGCTTATAAATGTTGCCGTGATGAATGCCTATGTGTTGAAACTCATGTTTTTGGTACCCCGCCTTTTTGAATGTTGCCAAAAGGGGGAGAAATATTATGCTTTCATATGCATACATTTAGGGGGAGTTTTTTTTTGTCAAAATATCACGTGCATCAACTTAGGGGGAGTTTTAAAATCAATATATGCTTTTCACGATATGTTTGTGCGTTTGACTATTATATTCGAAAGCTTTATTTGTCAACATCAAAAAGGGGGAGATTGTTGGCCTTGAATGCCGTACCCCGTAACCGTTTTGATGTGCCAAATAAGTATTCCAAATGCTACTAACATCATTTGCAGGAAGAAAACAAACGCCAAACCTCTATTAGCTTGTTTAGCATCACCGAGATATACTCCTACGAGTTTAGAAAATATTGTGTAAAGGTAATGATATATTTTAATGATTTACTTATGCCCTTTCACTCAAAGATTATTTTTAAAATATCAAATATCAAACGGTACCTGGCTACCGTGTACACGGCACCAGGGTACCGCCGGTAGCCAAGTGAACGTACCGTTGTACGCTTCACTTGAGAAGTACACGGTACCCCCCTACCGTGTCACGGTACCTGGGTACCGACGGTAGGGAATGACGGCTAGCCCAACCCGTCCTAACTAGGTACCGCCAGAGGCAAAACCAATTTTTTGCCTATACGGTACCCCCAAACGGTAGGCTGTACCGTGCTCACGGTACCTAGGTACCGGACAGGACTGAGCCTACCGTGAAGGGTACCGGATCCGTTGTAACCACTGTAGCAAATTGCCAATTTAAATTCAAATCACCCCTAATCACTTCCTAACGGCATTTAAGGTTAAAAATTCATATTTTAACATTCCAAACTCCTATATAAACCCCCTCTAAGTCTCATTTTAAGTACAACAACTTCCCAATTAAATCTAAAGCCTCTTTCTCTATTCTTGAGTGTTCTAAAAGCTTTGTTCTTATTTTTCTTACTCTTTTGAGTATAAAGCTTTCATTATTTTTATACACTCACACACAAGGGCATTTGTAATTCATTATTTTATATATTGCCTATAGGCTTTTGTTGTTGTTGATTTAATCTTTTGTTCTTCTCCTACCCAA